TCTCGTTCTCTCACACACGCACACACACAGACACATATCTTTATGGGGACCGCTCATTCATTTCTTTGGGAAAAATGCTATTGATAACTATGAAAATCTTAACCCCTACCAAGCCCTAAGCATAAGTAGCCAAGAAAAATACAACAGTTTTTGCATTTTTATTTTTTTCATCATGTTGTGGGGACATTGTGTCCCCATAAGGTAAGGTATACCCGCTCACACACACACACACACACACACACACACACGCACAGACACACACACACACATACACACACAGAAACATGCGCAAGACATTACATTAAACTGAACTTAATAACTCTGGTCAAGAGCATGAACTGTGCTAAAAATCATATTTTAATTTATAAAAGCGCTCAAAGCAGTGCGCCATATGTTATGCACATGCAGTTGTCACATCAAAAGGACGGCTACAGCCAGCTGGATTGAGATTAATCTTGGGCACGACATTGAATTCTTTCATACCGTCATACCGTCCAGAGTCCACGGAGTCACAGAGTTTTTAAAAGCAACACTCTTGTGATATTTTGACATCTTGGTGATAAAATCTGCCAAGCAGGGAGGGGACATCCCCCACAACAAAAATCTGCCAAGAGGCACATTTCATAACCCCCCCAAAATACCACAGAATACCGTACTACACATTTTACTCCATCATAGGAAACCAAACTCAGCATGCTTGGCAATTTTTATGATTGTTCCTTTTCACCATAATCTAGTTATGTTACACATCACTGTAATGTGTATCACTGTAATGTGTATCACTGTAATGTGTACCACTGTAATGTGTATCACTGTAATGTGTACCACCGCTGCTCTCGCGCGAGTGCTGCATCCAATCAATCATTTTCGTCCTTGCTGTCGGATTCACTTAAAAAAGTATGACGCGTTTTTGAGAAATTTAACAATGATGAGTAAGATGGGAAAATGCAAATAAGAACTGGTCACCAAAAGACCTTCACCTTCCACTGTGTGGAAGTATTCCATTGCGATGAGTAATTTGTTGGCAAAGTCCTGGCAAAAACACCAACTAAACTGACATTCTATTGATACATAAGTTCTATATGGCTATATTTGATTTAGGGTAATTTTTCAACTCCATTTTTGCTTTATAATCATCTCAATGTATTGAAAATACAAATCACATCATGATATTCCTCTACTAGCCTGATGCCTCCTAACGTTCCCTGAATGTTCTTTTGTTGCACTTCTGGTGTTAATAATAATCTTTTTAGCTTCTTGCTTTCTTGGAAGTTGTGTATCTCCTGCTCCAATATGAGTTATTCTTGAACCTGGCCATTCAATGTAAGCTCAGTCTACAGTAGCTGCACATTTATGTCTCGCTGACTCCATGGCAGCATGTACTGTATGTTTACAATGTGATATGTGCTTCACTGATACATTGCTTTGGAAAAAAAGCATCTGCAAAATATCATTTACATATTTGGAAATTTTCCAATATCGTGCAGCTCTTCCTCATTAGAAAACAGACTAAAAGTGGAGGCATCTGGTACAATGAGCTGTAACTAAAAGATTCTAAATCCTTCCAAAGTGTTAAAAGTCAGCAATAGTTTTTATGAATTCATTGAAGGAACCAAAATTAATTATGTTACCAATTATTTATTACTGTAGCAAGTTTTAGACTGTTCTCAACTTATTTTTAGTAGCTATATTACCCAGAGAGTTTTCAGTTTTTCGCCATAGTGCCACTTTACAATAAGGCTTCCCATATAAAGAGTTTATGAATGGTTTACAATCTGGTTATTAATTAGGTTGTAACACTTTGTAAATTATTGATAGACAACTTTAAGCAAGTTGTAACAACAAGTTTTCTTTTTATTAATGAGTTACTACCATTTACAAGTCGCAAAGGGAGCCTTATTGTAAAGTGATACCTTTGTCATTTACAAATTCGCCAATAGTTATAGTATTAGGTTTAATTACTATATAATACCAATACGACAACAATATTGGCAAAATACTCGAAATCACCCCTAATTCTGTAAGTTAATGTAATCCATTACAGTTGTATATATGGTATGAATATAATAATACGAGATGCTCATTACAGAAGAGGGGGATGGGCGTTTCTACAAATACAAAAATACAGAGAGGAGGTTCGGCTCTATGCAGCCAGTGATGCTCTAAGCGATCCGGTCCGCGGTTGGGGAGATCAGGACAGAGTTTAACCGCGAGGTAGAGGAGCCAGCCTTCATCTGACAGGAGGATGTCGGCCACAGGCAGTAATTAAGATACAACTGCGGGAGGTCTTCTGGCTGTCCCCCACCTCCCCAGAGGTGACAGCTTCACGAGAGCGGCGGCAGAAAGAGTGCAGTCCTGTGTGTCTGAAGCACTCAGCCACAAGGTGAGAGAGAGGATGACGCACGGACACAGACGAAGGGTTACTGTAAGATCTCAGCAGAGGCTCCCAGCCTGCAGTGCCGCGTGACAAAGTGAGGAGATAAGAGCGAAGGAGCCTACAACACACACCAACCTAAAGGACGCTAACCGACCAGGTAAATTCACTTTCAACCAGCTGGACTGGATGCAGCTTTCAAGGGGACATGCCTGCAGCCCAGACCCCCTTCCCCCTCGAAACTGCGGGGCTTCACAGGGACACTAACCAAATCTGCTGATTCACCAGCAGGGCGGCAGCAGTGAACAACTGTGCCCAGCAGGCCGCCAGGAAGCTTTCCCTACCGAGTTCGCGCAGAAAAGACGTAAAACGCGCATCAAACTGAATATTCACAGCGTCCCTGACACTTCCTGCGTTTCGCAGAAGGCTGGGGGGGCTTTGTGAGGGTGCAAAAATCACTCTCTGCATCTCCGGAGCCTGATTTTTACAAAGTGTGGCAGCAGACTCCAGGAGTTTAAGCAGCTGCATCATTTATTTAGAGACAATCAACCAAGAAAAAAAAATCATTAAAAAGCACCTTCATACAGAGAAGTCCTTTTGTGAAGTCCAGTAGACTGGGCGACGGCTCCCCCC